CCTTATTAAGTCAACAATAACTCACAACATTCACTTTTTCTGGAAGCCAGGAGTGGGTGGCAATGATACAAATATTAAACAACAAACCAACAACACCAGAACTGGCTTATGAATATAAAGAAAATTTTTACTAGAATAAGTATATAACCTCATAAACCAACTAGACAAAGAGCAAACTAAAGTGCAATGTGCATAACCAAGCCTGCAGATACTCGTAAACATACAGTGTCTCTCTCCTTGCTGTACTGGTTATGTATGCGATAAGTATGCCATAACACAACTGGAGCAAATAGTCATTCACTGGAAGCACAAAGCCATAAACATAGGAGCGGTTGCCAGAAAGCGTTCTTCAAGTAGTCGTTAGCTGGAAGCACAAAGTCAAATGGTCAGCTGAAGCCAAATAGATGAGACCTGTTCTCCAGAAATTATCCAGGTTTCACAGCAAGCTTCGTCAGTCCATAATGCTAATCACTCAACATGGTTCACTCAAGACAAAAGGTACTCACAGGCACCTGATCTGGTGGCTTTTAGGTCCTGGATAACAACATTTTTGTTTGCCAGGCATTAGCATGTAATGGACTTTGTTAAAAGTGAATTTCTTGCTGCTGAAACCATATTGTTCTTTTGTTGGTTTTTGAAGGAGGGGTGGCAGATTTTATGCCTGTGATTTCTGGGCTAATGGAAAATGACGAGTTGGGCATGTTTTGCAGCTCCCAAAATTTATTACATTTCTGAAACTCAAGCCAAAATATTTTTATTAAAACTTTTTCTCTTATAAAAACTTGAACCAAGGTTATTGAGGCCAGTGGAAAAGGAAATTCACAAGCATCTAGCATGCTTCGACAGCTTGCTAGAATTGCTAATTTTCAGGAAAGACATCCAAATCCAAAGAAGTTCACCTGCACTTTTATCCAATCCAAACTGAAAAGCCATTGTGTCAACAAACCTACTGTAACACAGAGCTTGTTAAATTGTAGCAACTACCAGTACTTTCCATTTTGTCCAGCCTACCAGGAAACAGACCAAAGGAGAATTAGACTCTGTTTTACTATTTAAAATCCAAAAACAGATTGACCACAGCCTACATGCCATTTAGAAACTCTGCCATGTGGGCCTCAGAAGTTTTTCAATCTCAGAGTAAATGAGAATATGCCATATATATATATATTCTTGCAGTACTTTACACAAGCAACATACTCAGCTTAAGCATTAGAATGGCAAAATATTGAGATTTATAGGCAGTAATAATCTTGGAATCACCCAAACAGAGTAAGTATCTATCATAGTGCAAAATACTGCACATAATCAAAAGAAATCAGACAAATATAGAAGAAAGATCATTTGAAAATAAACGTTTTTAAAAACACACACATTCCCTGTAGCCCATTGGTATATTATTCTCTAAAAGCTGCTTAAGAAATAAGGTGTAAAAGTTTAGTTACCAGTTTTGAAAAGGTTAAGGGCAAAACTACGTATTGTATTAATGAAAGTTTGTCCTCACTTCCGCTTGTCCTGTGCCTAGAAAGCATGACCACAGTAGCTTTCTGCTTGCCCCATGCTTTCAAGGCACAGGTCAGAGTGGTTTTGCCTTTCCTCAGCTGCTTTCCCCCAGAAAACATGTTCTTTAGTACTAAATTAGAACAAACAGCAATCTGCACAAAAAACAATTGTCCTTTGTTCCAATTCAGTGCTAAACCATGGGGGGAAGGGGCAGGGCAAACAGAGGTATAGATAAACCCTCATTAGTCTTGACTTTAAGTACAGGGTGTTGCTGCTTTTAGCTCAATATAGATCAAGATTCTAGAATGTGAGTGGAGGTGGTAGGGAGTTTTAACCCTTCATCACCTGTTGTGATGCCAATCTAGATCCCCTCCCTTTGCTTTAAGATGGGAGTAGGAACTCCCATTAACTTCAAATAGAAGCATTTTCTGTGCGTAATTTGTAGGTGCAGGGGGCATAATTCAGATGGGGAGACCACAGTGGAGCTAAAGCACACCTATAGTCACACTAGTATCAGATGTAATCTGTGATCACACCCACCCGCACATCTCAGTTGACAATTTGTGGGGAAATGTGTGACGTTTGACCCCAAGACCCTATTGTTCAAGGCCAGAAGCATGTAAGCTTGCCCAGAACTGAGGCAACCTGCCCACCCTCCATTGTTCAAGGGCAGCCTTCGTCAACTTGGGGTCTTTCAGATGTTTTGGACCACAATTGTGGTCCAAAAACATTTGGAGGTTAGGGGAGGCGGCACTAAGTGAAGGAAATAGTACCCAACCAGCAGAATGCAGGAACAAAACATCTGCTGATGAACAAAGCTGGTAGTTTCCTTGTGGAAACTCACTACAATAGATATGACAGACTGGTCATGTGTATTTTCCTTTCAAGTGATGGTGAGAATCTTACATCATTCTGCATTAGGGTGCAGTGTGAGACCAGATTTTCCACATCCCCTGGTAGGACTACAGAGATGTCTGCCTTAGTAGTTATAACCACTGGCTTACCGGTTCATAACCACTTAGCAAATGGTTGCCTCTATTCACTCATAGTCCCTCCTTGTAGAGTATCTTCAGTGACAGAACTGGTCATATAGCTTCAGCTCTTTGGAATACAGAACCAAGAAGATCCTTGATGGCATAGGCTGCGTTCACACATCAATTTATCCCATTTCTCTGCTGCTTCCAAACTGAATCTGAGCTTTCACATGACATCCAAGTCACTTCCAGAAAACCAACGGAATAAAGCACCTCTTTCATGCTCATTTCCGGGTTACTTGACTCCAGAAAAAAAAATATGTTTGCAGTCCCCTTCACCAGGAAAATTGCTGGAGTAAAGTGATGAACTTTGGGTAGTATACTGGCATATACTGTATTTTTCCATGTATAAGACATCCCCATGTAAAAGACACCCCCTATTTTGGGGGACTCCAAATAAAGAAAACACCCCTCAGCACTATCCATGTATATGACAAGCCCCAATTTTAAACCTAATTTTTTGGTTAAAAACCACCTAGTATTATACATGGAAAAATACAGTAATTGTTTCTTGCTGTTTTCTTGGTGGAAGATAAGCACACATGTGCAGAAAGGGTAGGCAAGTAGTGACATTGTCAAATGACATTCATTGCTGTGCTCTGCCGTGCCCACAGGTGTGAATGATGTGACATTCTACTATATAGGTCAAAAAGCCACAATTCCATGATGCAACAGGTGCTGCGGTGTGAAAGGGACAGTAGAAAATGTGACAGAAGTACTAGCATTTATTTATTTATTGATGGCATCCATCTGTCCTGATAGACATTGCAGTGTGGCTCTGGGAGTGAAGTCAAGCCACTAGAGAATTAGAGTGCCTGCTGTGGCTGCAAAGAACTGCATCTCAAAACTGCTGCATCCTCCGTTGTTTTTGCTGTGTTAGCGACACCAAAGTAACCTCTCTGAGCCTGGTGTGTATGGAGGTCCTAGGAAACTAATGCAGTATCTTCCCACATCTGACGAACCCATAGTGAAAACACAAGCTAGGTGGTTCATCTGGTTACACGTTCTGTTTAAGCAGAGTAGAACAACATAATTTTAATTGAGTTCTCAGGAGGAGCAAGGAAGGAGAAAAGCATTAGGAACTGCCATTAATCAAACCATTTGCCTTGTCTGGGGGGAAACTGCCTGGTAGAAAAGAACGGTATGTGGATTGATCTTGATAGTTGAGGAAGGTGAAGAGATTAAGAAGCTCACAGGCTCTCTAGCAGGTGAAACATCTCAGCATCAACATTAAAATGAAGGTTACGTTGTAATAGTAGGTGCCCACTTCAAACACAAATCACCCCCTGCTGGCTTAAGCTGGGACAATAAGAATCTTTTTGATATGTCACATGAACATAGAATCATAGAATCATAGAGTTGGAAGAGACCACAAGGGCCATCGAGTCCAACCCCCTGCCAAGCAGGAAACACCATCAGAGCACTCCTGACATATGGTTGTCAAGCCTCTGCTTAAAGACCTCCAAAGAAGGAGACTCCACCACACTCCTTGGCAGCAAATTCCACTGTCGAACAGCTCTTACTGTCAGGAAGTTCTTCCTAATGTTTAGGTGGAATCTTCTTTCTTGTAGTTTGGATCCATTGCTCCGTGTCCGCTTCTCTGGAGCAGCAGAAAACAACCTTTCTCCCTCCTCTATGTGACATCCTTTTATATATTTGAACATGGCTATCATATCACCCCTTAACCTTAAAATGGTTAACAAACCATTACCTAGCATGGTAGACTCAATGGAGTATGGAAATATAAAATCCAATACTGTAGACTGGCAATAACTGAATGGTGATAACAGGACAGTTCATAAACTATATCCTGAAAAATATTAAAGTTCATGAGGGCTGAAGATGAATCAGAAGTGATTGAAATGAATGTAAAGGTAGCAGCTCATCACACTTCTAGATTATAAGTGACGTACAATTCACTGACAGCTTGTCACAATGTTTTATCAAATATCCAGGGCATTTTTTAAAAAATCACTTATATGCTAATTACATCCTACAGATGTTTTGAATAATTTGTAACTATGCTGGTTCAATTCAAATAAAGTAATTATCACCTGACTTGTCAGTCTGCTGCAACAGAAAATGCACATGAAACACCACAGAGATCAGAGTCAGACCCAGCATCAGCACACAGCATGACTAGTTCATTGTCATGAAGCCCCAGATGCATTCTAAGGCTCCCTCATCTAGAACTGCTCAGCTATCAACCTGTTATCTGGAGTTGTCCCATCACCCACCTCTGTTGTCCATGCCCACTGTTGGCACCTGCCCATCCATAGAATCATAGAATTGGAAGGGCTCCCAGGGGTCATCTAGTCCTACCCCTTGCAATGCAGGAATCTCAACTAGATCATACATGGCAGATGGCCATCTAACCTGTGATTAAAAACCTCCAAGGGAGGAGAGTCCACCCCCTCACATGGGAGTCTGTTCCACTGTCTAACAGTTTTTCCTGTCAGAAAGTTCTTCCTGATGTTTAGTCAGAATCCCCTTTCTTGTAACTTGAAGCCATTGTTTGAGTCCTACCCTCCGGAGCAGGAGAAAACAAGCTTGCTCTATTTTCCATGTGTCAGCCCTTTAGATATTTGAAGATGGTTATCATATCTCCTCTAAGTCTCCTCTTCTTCAGGCTAAACATACCCAGCTCCTTCAACCATTCCTCATAAGGCTAAGTTTCCAGATCCTCAATCATCCAGATCCAGCCTGTCAATATCCTTCTTAAATTGTGGCACCCAGAACTGGACACAGTACTCCAGGTGTAGTATGATGAAGGCAGAATAGTGCAGTACTATTACTTCCCTTGATTGGGGCACTATACTTCTGTTGATGCAGACTAGGATAGCATTAGCTTTTTTTGCTGCTGCATCACACTATTGACTCAGGTGAAGTTTGTGGTCCACTAAGACCCCTAGATCCTTTTTGAATGTGCTACTGGCAAGCCAGGTGTCCTCCATTACTTAATAAACTGATCATAATAAAATAATAATAATAAAGACATCACTTTATTAACATGCAACTCCACAGGAATTCATTCTCCAGGAATGTGCTATCACCTTGTACATCAACAAGCACAAATAAAACGCAACAATGTGACATCCTTCATGATTTCTCTAATATGATGCATTTGATCTGAATCTTGATGTTAAAGACCCATCTGTTGTTGTTTAGTCGTTTAGTCGTGTCCGACTCTTCGTGACCCCATGGACCAGAGCACGCCAGGCACTCCTGTCTTCCACTGCCTCCCGCAGTTTGGTCAGACTCATGTTTGTAGCTTCGAGAACACTGTCCAACCATCTGGTCCTCTGTCGTCCCCTTCTCCTTGTGCCCTCCATCTTTCCCAACATCAGGGTCTTTTCCAGGGAGTCTTCTCTTCTCATGAGGTGGCCAAAGTATTGGAGCCTCAGCTTCAGGATCTGTCCTTCCAGTGAGCACTCAGGGCTGATTTCCTTGAGAACGGATACGTTTGATCTTCTTGCAGTCCATGGGACTCTCAAGAGTCTCCTCCAGCACCATAATTCAAAAGCATCAATTCTTCGGCAATCAGCCTTCTTTATGGTCCAGCTCTCACTTCCATACATCACTACTGGGAAAACCATGGCTTTAACTATACGGACCTTTGTTGGCAAGGTGATATCTCTGCTTTTTAAGATGCTGTCTAGGTTTGCCATCGCCTTTCTCCCAAGGAGCAGGCGTCTTTTAATTTCGTGACTGCTGTCACCATCTGCAGTGATCATGGAGCCCAAGAAAGTAAAATCTCTCACTGCCTCCATTTCTTCCCCTTCTATTTGCCAGGAGGTGATGGGGCCAGTGGTCATGATCTTCTTTTTTTGATGTTGAGCTTCAGACCATATTTTGCGCTCTCCTCTTTCACCCTCATTAAAAGGTTATTTAATTCCTCCTCACTTTCTGCCATCAAGGTTGTGTCATCTGCATATCTGAGGTTGTTGATATTTCTTCTGGCAATCTTAATTCCGGCTTGGGATTCATCCAGCCCAGCCTTTCACATGATGAATTCTGCATATAAGTTAAATAAGCAGGGAGGCAATATACAGCCTTGCCGTACTCCTTTCCCAATTTTGAACCAATCAGTTGTTCCATATCCAGTTCTAACTGTAGCTTCTTGTCCCACATAGAGATTTCTCAGGAGACAGATGAGGTGATCAGGCACTCCCATTTCTTTAAGAACTTGCCATAGTTTGCTGTGGTTGACACAGTCAAAGGCTTTTGCATAGTCAATGAAGCAGAAGTAGATGTCTTTCTGGAACTCTCTAGCTTTCTCCATAATCCAGCGCATATTTGCAATTTGGTCTCTGGTTCCTCTGCCCCTTCGAAATCCAGCTTGCACTTCTGGGATTTCTCGGTCCACATACTGCTTAAGCCTTCCTTGTAGAATTTTAAGCATAAGCTTGCTAGCATGAGAAATGAGTGCAATTGTGCGGTAGTTGGAGCATTCTTTAGCACTGCCCTTCTTTGGGATTGGGATGTAGACTGATCTTCTCCAATCCTCTGGCCACTGCTGAGTTTTCCAAATTTGCTGGCATATTGAGTGTAGCACCTTGACAGCATCATCGTTTAAAATTTTAAATAGTTCAGCTAATAGACCCATCTGTATTTGCTGCTATCTCAAAAAGCTATCAGAACACTGATGTAACACTAACAAAAATATCCAAAATTAAACAAACTCTTTTTTTAAGTATGTTCCCATGAGCACAAAGATGGGAAAGGAATGACTGGGGAATAGCCAGAGTTGGCCTGACAGAAAGAATCAGAGAAAAGCAATAAACACAAATAAAAATAACATCAATGGGAAATAATCTAAGAATGTGCTCATCCTATTCTTTAAATTATATACTAGGGAATTTTTCCTGGCTTCAAGAACAATTGTTTAATAGAGTGTTTTGTGAATGTGTTTAAAAATATTCAGATGACTCATTTACATCCCACATATATGACAAAAAGGCTTACAATGAATGCCAATTTAAATCATAGAATTGTAGAGTTGGAAGGGACCCCAAGAGTCCTCTAGTCCAATCCCCTGCAATGCTGGAATCTCAGCTAAAGCATCCATGACAGATGACTGTCCAACCTCTGTTTAAAAACCTCCAAGGAAGGAGAGTCCACAACCTCCCATCAAGTTCACAGGCTATCACCATCTTAATATATTTATAAACTTTCAGAATGCACCACAACTACCACTCTGGGTAGATGGTTAAATCAAATTTATCCCAGCAGAATTCAGCAAAGACATAAAATTTCACCCAGTCAGCACCAAACTCAAGCCCAATACAGTGGTACCTCAGGTTACAAACGCTTCAGGTTACAAACTCCGCTAACCTGGAAGTAGTTGCTCCAGGTTGCAAACTTTGCCCCAGGATGCAAACGGAAATCGTGCACCAGTGGCACGGTGGCAGCAGAAGGCCCCGTTAGCGAAAGCGCATCTCAGGTTAATAATGGTTTCGGGTTAAAAACAGACTTCTGAAACGAATTGAGTTTGTAACCCGAGTTACCACTGTACGAAGTTTTTGCAGCAGTTTAGATTTGAGCTTCAGCTAATCCCCTGGACAAGAACCCCTGGAGATATCTTAAAATGGGCCCCTGCTCTCCATACTTTACACAATATTCCTGGGAAGGATAGAATATGGGGTGGGTAACCAAATATAAGTGACTTCTAAAGTAGTTTCTTCAACAGGGAATGCATTCCCTGTGCCCTCCTCAACACTGTGGATCCCTTCTGTGTCTTGGGTTTAACCTAGCTCTGCAGCAGAGCTGTGATTCACCATTGTTACATGATGTACAGCAGTGGAAGTGACAAATTCTCCCCCCCCCCCCATTTTTTTAACTTCTCTCCTTGACTTCATGGGCATAGCCAGAATTCCCCCCACCTCCGATCAAGTAAATAAATATACTTAACTAACTGACCAATTGCATCACAGATAGCTCAGTTCTGCCCCCCGCCGCAACAAAAGTTATGCCCCTTCCCAACAAAAATCCTGGCTACGCCCATGCTTGACTTACTAATTTAAACCTCCAGAAAAATTAATTCAATAGGACAACTCCTAAGCTAACATCTCAGGATGATGAAGGTATGCTCAGAAACAGGAAGAAGATTTCAATCTCAACATGAGGTTCTTTGTTTTGAAAAACAGACGTATTTCATCAAGATTACCCCACCAGATCTACACAAAAAAGCGATACAGCAAACTAGGAAACAAAAAGTGTTTCCAATTATCTACAGCCTATATTGTGCACAACAGAATAAAGAAAACATGTCCTTGGATTCAGCGTATGTGAGGCCTCCTCTCACATTTCCTTCAAAGTGGCTTCTTTAAGTTACTAAACATATACACATTCTTCAACCCAAACATTATTCAGATTTCCTGTTGATATGTAAATCAAGAGGGAGCATCAACAATAATAGTCCAACTAGCAATAGCAAAACTTCAGTTATACTGTAAGATGCTATTTGGACAGAGCTTGTGCCACAATTATAAAAGAAGAAATTACAAGGCTGCTGACCTAAGAAACGGTGAGTTTCTAAATAAACAAGGAAGAAAAGGACAGGTGTAAAGCACACTGGATATTTTAAAATATTTTAAAGCAGCAGTGGTCACCTGGCAGCCCACAAGCTGAATCTGGTCTATTGCTAGTTTTGGTCCATCAGTCACTTTATTCCTATGCTACTTTCTGATGTTCAAAGCACTTAACAAAAGCAACAAAACAAATACATTAAACATCAACAATACATTACTATCCCTCTACAGAAGACAATATAGTACAAAACTGTTTCACAATAGGAACCTAACAAAAACACCTCTGTAACAAAATAATTCATTGCTTGCAGGAAAAGAGTAAAAAGAGAACCTTTGCCCTTGAGGTGATAGTAGAATAAGCCCTTTTAAAGGAGTGCATAGAAAGGCAGGGCAAATCTTCAGTCTGGGGTGTTTCAGGAGCAGGGTGGAACAGCAGCAGAAGAAACAGGCATCAAACCTCACTCAAAGCACAAGCGGAAGAGGTGCTACAAGCTGAGGTGGACAACCTGACTCTTGGCCAGGGGTCCTCAAACTTTTTCAGCAGGGGGCCGATCTACTGTCCCTCAGACCTCGTGGGGGCCAGACTATATTTTTTGGGGAGGGAATGAACGGCGACGGAGGGACGATGAGGAGCACGCAAAAGGGCTCCAGAGAGGGTCTGCTTTAAATGGTGGCCGCTCGAGAGGGGTGCTCAGCCAACCACGGCTCCTGTGTCTTGCAAGTGGCAGGGGCTGGTGGCAGCAGCAGCAGCAGCAGCAGGACGATGAGCGAAGTGAAAGGGCTCCGGAGAGGGGCTGGCAGCAACAAAGCCCAGCCGCCTCCCTCCTCTAGGCAGGACGGGGAGAAGCCAGGAGGGAGGGAGGGAGGGAGGGAGGAGGTGCCGCTGCCGCCGTGTGAGGGAGAGGGAAAGAACATGCGCGCTGGCGATACACGTGCTGGCGATCCATGCGGCGATTCCCAGACCGTACGTGGGCCAGATTTAGAGGGCAATTGGGCCTTATCTAGCCCGTGGGCCTTAGTTTGCCAACCCATGCTCTTGGCTATATTGCTGTTTGCCTGAGCAGCGCTAATTCCCAAATTAATCACTTGGGAAATTCCAAGCAGTTAGCTCAGTTGTTTAGAGTGTGGTGCTGATAACACCATGGCAGCTGGTTCTAACCCAAACAGGCCAACTGCATATTCCTGCATTGCAGGGGATTGGACTAGATGACCCTCGAGATCTCTTCTAATTCTATGATTCTATGAAAAAGGAACATGTGAAGCCATCCTTCTGAGCCCCTTGGAGTCGCTTCCCCAGCAAAGTTGTTTCTGTATAATGAAGTTTTATTTTTGTGTCATAAAGGATGCTTCAGGGGACGGTGTATCTACCTCTGGGCAGTCACAGCTGGGGTCATCTTTCGACTAACTGGCTCATGTGGCTACTTCCAGTTTACTATAAAAGATAAAGAAAGCCTTGCAACAGCCATCTGAAAAAGTAACAATGCTCTAGTAAAAGAGATGCTTCTGTACTAAATTAAAGGTAGAAATTCTTAGGGATCCTCATAGTGCAAATCACTTTGATGATATTGTTCCCTATGAACACAGATTTCACTGAACTTTCTTCTCTGCTTGGCATGTTTATCATATGAAATAACTCTCCTATTGCAGGTCCATTTTCCAATTCCCTCCTTTCCAAACAAAAATACTCTTTAAAATATTGCAGTTTTCGAGAGGCGGTATTAAAGGGACTGTAAACTCACACATAACTCTCTCAGGGCCTTATCTTCTGCAGAGTGTATTGTCAGAAAGCAGAAAATGTAGTTTGTCTCGCATTATCTGTAATAAGATAGACAGTCCTTCATTTTAACAAGGTGCCACTGCCAATATCAGCCCTGCTGCGTGAAAAACCAGTGCAATGCTTTCTTTATTTATACAAGTGGAATGAAACCGAGGGAGACCTGAGGCAATTGGTGATACTTTCCACCAACTGGCACATATAATGTATTCAGTTTGTGCCTCAGTTAAAAAAAAAAGCAACAGATTAGAATCCAAGTGCGATGTATCAAGAAGTCCAGTGACCTACTTCCTCCAAACTGCCAACAATTAGTTAATGGAACCTTGCTTCAAGTCACATTTACATGGAAATTGCCAAAGGCAGCATTCAAATCTCTTTGAACCAATTTCTGAAAAGTGTGGAATTCAGACACCACAGAATGATATTGCTTGATATGCAAATCAAAATCCTTGTTTAACTATCACCTTATGTAAGCTCAAAGATTTATCCTCAAGGCTACGAGGACAAGACTTGGGGAAGCAGCTGGGATGAGCAGAGTCCCTAACATCAGTTTCCCCTCCCTGCCCAGGACAGATGGTCATTGCTCTTCTCAGAACCAGCGAGAAGCAGGCTTTGTTCACAGGCTGAAATGAGAGGCTCCCTTGGCTTGCACAGAAGATCACTACGTTTTTTTGTATTATATGCTGTGCTCCATTTATAATGAAAAACTGGCTTTTTATGAACATTAATTCATTTATTTATATACAGGACAAGCTTATGGGTTATTTTAAATTGAATCATTCTGTTTTTGAACAGATACTTACTTTTTAGGTGATTATCTAAACTACACCAGAGTATATGCAGATCTACTTGTCTGAGTGGAGAAGGATTTTAGATTTTATTTTTTTGCAATATATGGTAAATGCCATTTTCAGTCAGAAGGATTAAGGGTTGTTTTTTTAATTAAAGAAGAATACAGGACACGGAAAAGCAATCTTAGAAGTATGATTTAAAACAATAAGCAATTTAACAAAAATAAGTCTGAACAACTACAACTTCTGGATTTATTTTGATGTAGCCATTCTAAATGTTAAGAAATGTCACTGAAGAAAACTTTTCAGCTAAATCTAGCTATTTTCAGTAGTTATTTTCATTAGAATGCTTGTGACTATTCACAGCCTTTATCAATAGACTATATTTATTCTATCCACCAATATTTTGTGAGAACATCATATGTAGTTGATTGTCACTTGTAGTTGACTACTGAGAAGTTTGTTTTTTATGTGAGTAGTGTTTTATTATTGTAGTTGTATGGTTTTAATTCATTATTACATTTTTTGCACATGTAAAATTTACAGTTGTTATCTTGTCTTGTCTAGTGTTTCTGTGTATTGGTGGTCAGAAGGCTTTCTTTCTTTCTGTTGTTTCCATGCTGGACACTTTCTCAGACACATCCTGGTGTTCTTCAAGTGGTATAATAACAATAAAAAAACCAAAATGGAGTTTATGCTAAGGAAGTGCTAAATTATTTTTCCATTCCTATTTTCAGAGGTTGATGGGGACAGAATAGTCCTAATGAGTTCAGACATTTGGTAGTTTAATTTTACCATTCTTTCAATATGGATAAACTACCATATTGGCCCAAATATAAGCTGAACCCAAATATAAGCTGCACCTTTAAAATTGGAGGGGGGGAGAAAAAAAGAAAAGAAAAACCCAAATATAAGCTGCACCTTTAAAATTGGAGGGGGAGGGAGAGAGAGAAAAGGAAAAAAAACCCCAAATATAAGCCACTCCATTCCTCCCTGCTCCTGGCTGCCTACTGGCGGGGTGGGGGGGGGAGCTGCGCTGCATTGCTGGGGGCATTTCCCCTTCCTCACTCTCTCCCTTCCCAGCTCTGGGAGAGAGAATGGTGAACTATGCACGGGGCGGGCGCCGCTTTGCCACACTCCTGGCCGCATAAGGTCGTGAATATAAGCTGCACTTTAACTTTTCAGTCAGAATTTGGGGGGAAAGTGAGGCTTATATTCAGGCCAATATGGTATATGCCCTGATAGCATTGTAAGTTGAACATTTTACAAAATAAAGAAAGAAGGGAGGTTATGGAACACCACTCAGCAAGCACCCTTATAATTGTTGCTAAGAATATGGGATATAAAGTGGTTTAAATTTGCTTTAAAAGTTTTGTGATTATTCCAGACATCTCCAATTCAACCCACTGACTTGGGTGTGGGTATGTTACCATGATCACAGCATAAGAAATGTTAAGTGAGAACATGTGTGCAGTAGTGACTTCAACAATGGTCAATGCCAACAATGCCAACTCTATGTGGCCCTTTGCCCCCCCCCCATGAAATAATTAGGGGGTAAAATTTTATCCAAGTTGGCACCTATAAGAGGTACCATGATCAGAGACCTTGCAGCATTATGACTGCTTCCACCAAGCTTTTCTCTTCATACGGTTTCTACCTTTCTATAAAATAATCAGTATTGGTGAAATTATTGAAGCCTACAATACACTTTTAGTCTCCAAGGTTCTCTGTTCAAGCCAAAATGGCAAGGAGTGATACTCAACTAAGCCACATGGCCACAGATGTTTGTGGGTAAAGAAGCAAAACCCTAACAAAATGCTCTGTTCATTGAAGCTGCACAAGTCATCTGCAAACAAGCGCTACCATTTACACATCAGGTTTCCTCAGATTGACAAGAGTGGGAAATTACCTGTACCTAAAGAGTGGTTGGTGCCGAGCATGCTAGCTCTGTCCCCATTCTCTTCCATGTATTGGAGGGTGGCTGTCTAGTCAAATTGTGCTAGTACCATCACTAGGATGACTAAGACAAAAATCCCCATGTCTAAATATACCCTTCTTCTCTTCTCTTCATTCATTGCATATATAGGCTTGCATCCTAACTGGCCATCTGTGAACATGAAGGATCCCTGTGGCAGGAGGATGGAACCAACTATCAGCAATTCCCACTTTCCCTTGCAGAGTCTCTTCTGCTGGCCCAACCCTTCAGAACCGATTTTGGTGTGTTGCAAGGGGATCAGACTTATGAGCACCACATGACCACAATTCCACTCATGGAACACTCCTGTCAGTGGAAGCCCAGTCAGGGCCCAAGCCAGAGTCTATCTGATGCAAATTCTTCACAACTGTCTTATTTTCAAGCAATCGGTACAATACTTTTTGGAAATTAAGGAATTCTGTTTCTCCCCTCAAAGCAACACACACAACATATTAATACAAAACATATATTTTAATTTTCTCACCAGGTCACCAGGTAGAAACATAGCTTTAAATTATTTCTCCCTTCCTCTGCTAATTTTCACAAAAGCCTCCAAGATACACATTCCTTCTAAGCTATGATGATATCATTAGATGTCAGTGGTTTTTATTTCAGAAGTATCTTTTTTTTCCAGAAGAGAGGAGAAAGAGATTCTCAAAAAGCTTGTTATTTCTAACATGAAACGAAGGCAAAATCACTTTGAGGTTTAGGCTATGTGTAAAATTAAAGCTTGTAACAGCATGTGGGGCTTCATGCCACATTACTGATATTGGCCCTGATTCTCATTAATAAGATATGAGAGAGAGACTAGTTTGGGCAGATGACTCTCAAAGTAATCTCACTGATTTTTAATATCTAATAAAATGAAATGAATAAAAACCATGTGTGGGGTGGGAAATTATGTAATGCACATAGCAAGTGGTACCAGGACTTGCAATCACATCTTCAACAAACATAATTTTGTGGCAATTAATTACTCTAGTCCCAAGCCTTTACCAATGAACCTGAATAGCAAGGGAAATTGACAACGAGAAGATTGCAACAGCCAAATGTTCACTAGGCCCTTGAAAGGTCAATTTATGGTGCACATCTGTGTCTTCAAATTTATGAAGAGATTGTTTTCTCATGCAGACATTGTGCTTTACAATTAACAATGTGGTTTCCTGATGAGAGAATCTCATGGCACCCTATCATTAAATACATATGTTGCACATCCATTTCAATGTCCTACAATATTGCAATTAACAATATCATTTAAACGTCTACATAAACTTTTGCATAAAAGAGTGCACAGTTTAGCTCAGACAGTCATAACTTGATTGCAGAGATATATAAATGAGATTAGATAATGGTCATTCCTGTGTCATTCCTGCAATATGGTCCATATTAATCATCTTATTTTATATTCAAAAGAAAGTTTTGACTTTCCAGCTGGATACACATTTTCCCCACATTGATCTTTACCATGAGACCATGCTATATGACTAACCTTGGAGCTAAATCTTCTCCAAGCCCTGACAATGTTAACAAGGATGAGAATTTCATTCCAATCCTAGTGGCCAGTCCTAAAACACAACTTGGACCAGGAAAACAAGGTTTAAGTGACACACTGCAGCTTTGCACAGATTTGAATTTCA